ATTCAAACACACACACACACAGATCCTGCTCAGTGTAAGATGAGTTCATGTAGCTGCTGCATCCGTGGGTTTATGAGCACTGTTGTGTTATTAATATGCTCTGATGATAGGGGGGGTTTCGCAGTGAAGTCCAAGGAGTCCCATAGCAGGATGCTTTAATGTCAAAATCTTCTGCTCTGTGTCAGAAAGATTCACTACTCAAGTAAAAGTAGTAGTACCACAGTATAAAAGTACTCCATTACAAGTGCAATCAACATGGTACTGAAGTAAAAGTATTACCAACAAATGTAAAAGTACCCATCATGCAACAGAGTGGCCCCTGTCAGTGTATATTGTATTGATTATTGTGATTAGTAACATGTAAGCAGCATTTTTATGCTGAGCTGCCTGAGAGGGAGCACATTTCAGTTTATTTATACACATTTGGGTAGTTGATTTTTTAATAGTGCATCATATTTAATAAACTGATCATGTAAAGTCTGCAGAGTCACTTAGATAAGTCATTCAGTAAAAAGTTCAGTAATTTCCTCCAAAATGTAGTGAAACAGAAGTATGAAGTTGCATAAAATACTAAAAATACATTAAAAAAAATGTGCTTAAGTACAGTATGTGAGTGAATGTACTTATTATATTATATTTTATTTGTTCCTCACCTAGTTCATCAAAGCAGACACTAAACTTTACCACTACAGAGAACATTAATCTGTCATGGCTGCTGGTTAACAGTCAAACAATAAGAGAGAATATGTCATGATTAAAACCAATGAGAGGAAAAACCTTTAACTTAGACGTAGCCTGTCTTTAAAAGTAGGCCAGCTTTTTTTAATACTATATACAGTATTAAAGTGTGCACACTACAGTGGAGGCGCTATATATATATATAGTATAGACTGTATACCTGTAATGAGCCTCTAAGATGAGTTGATTTATCTTATTTAGTTCTTAGAGGAGAAAATATAAAAACAATGGCACCCATACAAATTTAGATTTTAATTTAACCACAAAAGATCAAACAGCTTTACACAGTGTTGGCTATCAAACCTCATTACTTTTTTAGTAGCCTTGAGTATTGAATGTGCCAAAATCAATGTGCTTTGAGTATTTTCATACTCTTTTTATGAGACAGTTCCTGATTCGATTCATAATTTTCTGCCAGTTTAAGGCTTTTTTGTTTCAGCAGTTGTTGTGCGACTGCTCGTGTTTAATCAATATTTAACATTTGAGAAGTTAAACCTTGAAAAATATACTCAACTCTAGCTTTATGGATGTAATAAAGAATATAAAACTATATTTATTTTGGCCAAATGTGGTTAGACAATGTGTGAAACCATACTGTGTCTCTGCTGTACATTGTTTATTTGATTGTGGCTTATTCCCCTTTGAATTAGTTGTAATATTGTAATTTACAGTTGACCTACCTGCGATTATTTTATGAGTTCAGCAGTAAAAGCAAGAGGCTGCCATCTGCATTCGAAAGGGGCATTTCTTTTGCAACAACATGCCACCTCCTCCAGTTTCCCTCAAAGCATGCTTTGTAGGCAGGCTGTCTGCCAAAGTAAAGGTCACGTGGAAACCATGCATATGTTGTGATGTTCATCCTGCGTCTGTCATGGGATTTACTGACCCCTCTGTCTCTCTCTCTCTCCTACTCTCTGTCTCTCTCTGTCTTTTCTTTTTTACTGTTTTTAGAGAGTCTTCGTGGATGAGTGCAAGTTCAAGGAGACTTTGCTGCCCAACAACTACAACGCCTATGAGTCTTTTGTTTACAAGGGCTTCTATATCGCCCTCAGCAAGCATGGCCGCGTAAAGAGAGGCAACAAGGCCACCACCGCCATGACCGTTACACATTTCCTCCCGCGGCTATGAGAGAAACTGTCAATAACTCAGTACTTTGCACATGTGGATGTTCTTCCAGGTAACATAGAAACACATAGTCATGATGATATACACACCGATGGACTGCGAAAGAAAACACAAATATTTATTCTGTTTATATATATGTATATTTGGATAGCTATCTTTGTATATGTACTGTGCTGCTTATTGTTTTTATGGACGGGGAGAGTTGAAGCCTTTGCCTGTCTCACTTTACCTTGGTGCTTGCTGTAACTGAACTACGTGTCACTTCCTTTTTTGAGATGGATGATGAGCTATATCCTGTGCTTTTAAAGAGTGAAATGAATACTTTTTATTACCTCAAAGAACCACTTTACTAGATTAAGGGATGCATGGACTTCTGCTCAAATATCTGCTAAGTTTATCATTTCTTTCAAACCTTTGAGCGCTTGACGGCTCCCTGCTCGATTATGGATGTCCGGCAGTGGGGGAAACTTAAATGCACTACCTTTGCTGCACGATTTAAAGGTGCCTTGGTGTTCCCACTTGTGGCCCCCTTAAACTTGCATGTAAGAGACACCCGCTGGAGTCAGAAATAGGGCTGACACTCCGGAGAGGGCCTCAGAGAGGGGGGGGTTGACTATCTCTGGTTTATTTTCTTTTCTGTAATTAGATCGATTAAGTAATATACAATCTGTGGTCGAGACCAGAGAGCGGTCAGCCATAGAGACTGGCGCGAGGCCATTGGTTTGACTCTGTGGCATCGCCAGCAAATAAACAGGGTGGAATACTAATCTATCCGAGCATGGAGAACATTCTGGTTTGGACCTGGCTTGCGTCTGCACAAGAATAGACTGAACGGATAGATAGCAAGCACACAGTAGAAATGTACCTGCACATTGTCTTGGACAGAGCTCCTGCAGTAAAGCGGGTTGCTGTTTCTGAATCGCAAAGCTTTAGCTGCTGCTGAAAATGATGTCTACTGTCCATGAAAAACCAATGAATAACGATGTATATAGTTGCAAATGTAAAAGAAGAATTCAGGAGCTTTTTACGCTGCTTTGTCGCAGTTGCCAGAACGAGGCAAAAAGAGTTCAGGTTGCACAGTTAACCATCAATGATGGTGCCTAAATGTTTTGGTAAGAATCGTTCCCACATGTTGGTCTCTTAATTTATCTTTGTGCGCTTGGTGGAGTATGCGCGTGTCCTGGGCCATTTCACCCCCTAGTCTGTGTGCTCTGCAGCAGCACTGCAGTGGCAGCGAGGTGTTGGGAGCTGGAGGCAGATAGTTTCGAATGTAATTATGGATGAGGCAGTCGTGTCCCCATGAAGGACTGAAGGACAGTGCAGTTGGATGCACGCTATAAGAAATGCCGTCACTTCTGTTGATTTGTATCCGTATTTTATACATTTGAGACATGGGCATGAAGGGAGCACCTTGTTAATATATAATAGGGTATTCAGTTTGTTTACAAAGCTGAAGCTGTACACTTATTGATATTGTGTGAACCAATATATAGTCAATATCTTGTTACATATTCCAAGGATGCTTTTCTTGCTTCCCCTAGTTTCTGAGAATCTTACAGCGTGCATCTACTTGTGTAGCTTCAGCAGCTGTTTACTTGACAACCTGAATCTTGCTCCGCCATCAGCCTCCATTCGGTCTTGCATTTAGAGAGGAAGCAGGACTATTTAAATCCAGGAAAGATGTATGCGAGGGAGCCGGCCCGCTGTCTTTGTTGTTTGTCAGACCCCCTGCAGGAATGTGGATCTGCCAGGATGACAGGCAGCCTCCCACATACCCCTGAGCTCTGTCACCCCCAACCACCCACCTCTGCCTGTCCCTTACCCCCCTTACCCGCTGCAGGCAGGGACCTTGGGATTCCAGCTGTAACCCAGGAGCTTCCTCCTCTCCTTTCAGCCTTTTTTAGTTCAAGGTCAGAGTCACGGACCAGCCTTGGCCCCAACCCCAGTGGCCGGGGTGGTCGGCTATATGGGTCATACTGTTTCCATGAAATTGGAATTTAAAGTGTCTTTTTGACACAGGAAACACTATTTTATGCCCGAGAGTTGCTCTCCAACTGACTGGTAGCTATCATAGTTCCCTGCTTCACAATCTGCAATAGTTATTTTTGAAAACAATCCCACTTCCCTATTCCGAATTTAGAGCCCCACCTTTTTAAAATGCAGCTCCACAACACGCCGTCCCCTCCCCTTTCCAAGTACTTGTGTTGGGATATTTCTGGGGAGGGGACATCTGCAGAGTTAATGCAGTGTGTGAGGAGCAGAGTCACGCAGAGCCTCACCTCTCCTGCTGCACTCCAGCCCTGCAGGACGGCAACCTCAGCCATCCTCAGGACGTGCCCTCTACTGCTGTTGCTGCTACTGCTGCTGCTCGGCACTGCCCCGAACCCCCACACATCTTCTACCACATACTGACACAGTATCACCTGCTGCTCAACTGTCTATGACACACAGATTGATTCATAACAGTATTTTACTCACAGTTAAATATCTCACTTTTTTTTTTTTTTTTTCCAAGGACTTATTTTTTATGCCGAGGTGCAACACAGCAGAGCCAATGTATCGGGAGCTTAGCTTAAAAAGACTTGTTGCTGTTGTAGATGAGGCTGCATGAAATACCACTGATGTACATTTCTTGTTGGGAGTAAATCGTAGCATACAAAATCCACAGTTTCAGCATTTTCGGCTGAGGAAGGCATGGAAGTGAACTTTGCGCATGCACAGCAATGAGCACTTCTCATGCTCGCCTCAGCAGTCAAGATGTGTGAAGTCTCTAGCAGCACCTTATTAACAACATCTTGATTATAAGCTAGTCTAAAGAAGGGAGTTTTTTCACATTTTTTCTGTCAAGAAATAGAGCTGGATCCCTAAAAGAGTAAAGGTCTGTGTCTAAAACAAAAAGCTCACCTTTCAGCTTTGACCAAAAAATTTTATCCAGAGTTATCTGTCGTCTCTTTTCTTTCCACAGCATATCATAGATCAAATTTAAATTAATTTTAAGGTGAGGAATATCTTTTTTTAACATAATGTTTAATGTACTACTAGCATGCCTGAGCCCCAAGCTTAATTAGGGGTGTGTGCTTCATGTGTTTTTTGTTTTTAACTCCTGCTCTAAAAGGGAGTGAGCCTCCACTCTATTCCTCTCATCTCTGTTCTCATATACCTCACCCTCTGCCTTAGTTTTGGTTTGCTGATGACTGTAAATTAAGACGAAACAAACTTCAGTTATTTGTTTCGGAAAAACAGACAATGCTAAGTAAGGATATTAAAGTTTTTTCCTTTTATTTTTGTACGTATGTGCTGTGCACAGCAGTCTACTGTATTCCTGAGATAACAATAAAAGTTTTTTTTTTAACTGGTTGCTGGTAAAGTGTTGTTCTGTCTGTCAAACTCTGATGTGATTGTATGGTGCTGGAAGAAGTACTCAGACTCATGTAAAAGTACCAGTACAGCAATAAAAAATTACAAGTAAAAGTCCTGCATTCAAAAGTATTTTCAGTAAAATGTACTTAAAGTATTGAAAGTTAAAGTACCTGTTATTTGACTGTACTGGAGCATCGATGTGTGAACAGCATTTAACTTGTACTTGCTTAAGGTGGAGCTAGTTTTAACTACTTTATATACACTAAGGTAGTTGGGTCCGGTGGTTCTCAACCTAAGGGTCGGGGCCCCCCAACAGTGACACAAGATAAATCTGTTGGGTCATGAGATGATGATTTCCCTATTTATCTCTTTCTTTTTGAAACTATGTGAGAAATTTAGAGTGGGAATCACTATGGTGTGGAACTACAAACAACCCTCAGACACCTAAAAAATTATGACAAGAGGCCCCGACTAGACACTGCTTTTATTAAAGTACCAGTGTGTAGAATTTACTGGCATCTAGCAGTGAAGTTGCAGATTCCCACACCACTGGCGTCTGTATTTGACGAATCCGTCCTGGGCTACTGTAGAAACATGGCCGTTCAACATGGCGGACTCCACAGAAGGCAA